AGAGAGGTTATAACAACAAAACAATCGTATGTCTTGAACTAGAAATCGCATCGGGAACGAGAGCGTCAATATTAAGATGTGCATGGCCATGGCGACTTATCCGTCTTATCATTTTAAGACAACAAAATTAATTGTCTCTGCGTAAAATTGTCAGATCTGTTTCCCATTGCATATTCTTCCCGTAGGAAAAATGCTTTGTATTCGGGTCTTAAAAGTTGTAAAGGGATGGTCGTTTCAATTATTGAAGTGAACCGTGTGAATGCCATGATCAAAATATACAATGGGTTTACATTTTAGCAAATACCTTTATAACAAAAAAAGAAAACCACAATACAAATAGCCAAGGGCGACAGCCTACCAGCTCTTAACGACGAGGCCTACATCACAAAGAAAAGGTGTAGTTGTTTAAGAAAACAGGCAATATTTTAGGATGACAACAATTTCGTAGCAAATCAAATGAAAGAAAATGACGACACTCTATCTTTTTCTATGGTTGTGGTTATTTTACCTGACTGCTAAGAAAGCATAAATGCTTGTTAGTAAGCAACCAGACGGCAGACGGTTTGAGGTCCTCTCCGAGGGACCTGGTAATGAGGATTAATGCCTTACCAAAGGGCACTAGCGCATCGCCTTGGTTTAGAACCCGGGTCACCGGATTACGAGACCACTGCTCTACCGACTGAGCTATCGCGCCTCCTATCTATTAATGGAAGAAAGAATAAAGTATAAAGTTTTCGTTATGGCTTGTTTTAATATACAATATCCAAACACTCGAATATCTCGATTGTTTGTTATTGATAAGGCCAACAATGTATACCACCAGATATGCAGAGAATAGTAAATTAATTGCTCCCCTGGTATCGTAAACACAGTTTTCTATACCAAGGTCAATATCTTTTCAACAAATTCCCTTTAAATATAAAATGAAGTAGTTAATTGCCTCTAATTAAAATATGTCGCCAATCTTTATCTCACACTCTTTAAAAATCCAAACATATAAAAGTTTGATTGATTTCAGCTGCCTTATTGTTTCAGCTCATTGGGAGGGGGGGGGGGGGGGCTTGTTTAATCTCCATTAATTTTTCTTTTACTTTTTCTTTCTTAATATCTAGTTCTCCCCCCTCCCCCCCCCCCCCCCAAATCTAGTATTAATTTGTTTTCTGCTTGATTTTTGTAAAATATAATGAATAAATGAGATGTAGGCCCCGGTTAATGTTGTTATTTCAAATAATTTTGTTATGCATTCGTTTGAATTTTCCCTTAAAACAAAAATTATTATACTTTTACGAAGTTTAATTTGTGTTTTGTTTTTTAATAAAATGTGATGTTATGTTATGCATCTGTATAATGTAGAGCTTCCTTGGAAAGCAGGTCATTTGATTATTTTTGGGGCTGGAATGGAACCATCCCTTGCGGAAACAAAACTTATTAAATTAAAACAAATACAATAGTGATTTTCTTTAAAAATACTTACACTGCTTCAAATGATCTAGGGATTATCCTCAAAATATCAAATCTGCTTTAGCGACCACCTGTATAGAAAGACCACATTTTTCGTTTCCCTTCAATATGATTTTTCATTTAAACTTGTAAAGGAACTTGCTCTGAAAGACCACCTTTCTATATTTCACTATAGTGTTTCTCATATACTGGTTTCACTGTATTAATAACACCCTAACAAAAGTGGTTGCATTATCATGGACATCCGGTAGGTGTAAACGTAGATAGGAGGAATACATAGGTTTAAAACACACTATCCCATTTTTAGTTAAATTTTGATTTTAAATTGTTTTATATTGTGTTTCATCATAAGATTATAACATTTGCTACCATATATGTTTTCCCACTGTGATCGAAATGACCAATATTTAAAAAACAGATCAAATAAGCAGAAATGCAGTAGACGAAACAGGAAACAATATATTTCATCATCATGGTTTGATTTAGAACGCCGTTTAGCCTTTGTCTAAAAACGTTTGTCGATAAGGGTTGTCATATCTTAGCCCTGCAGTCCGTTGTGTCGACGAGAAGTTGGGGATTCTGTTGTAATGAATTACAAATATCACAGAACTAAATAAGGCGACTTTGCACATATGTATGTATGATTATAAACAAGTTTAATGCAGAGCACAATGCTCAAAAAAGAGTAATGAACATAATATCACAAATCAAAAATTACACAAGCTTACAAGGATCATGATATGTATAGAAAAGACTTGAGTCATCAAGAAAGAGAATTTATTTCATTTCATGTAGTTTCATATATTTTACTATCTCTAAAAATATTTTTTTTAAAGGATCAAAATACATACATACATGTAGATATAATTATAGAAAAAAGGAAGTAGGAAATTTATAAAAGCCAAATGGCTTGTTAAAAATGATTCCCATTAAATACAAAACATACTTTAAGCCGAATATTATATTTACAAGCATTACACATTATGTTACATTATTACTGACAGGACAGAAGAAAAAAGAAGGAAAAGAGATGAGAGACATTTAATTCCACTTGATATTTATAAAGTATGTACATTATATATCATTTCAATCGAACAATAATTATATCAAAATTTCGAAATATTTTAGTGTATAGATTTTTTTAATGTTTTCACTCTAATTACTCAAAATGATTGTGCCATGAAAAAATATGGAATCTTCATAAAATTTGACATCATGTATATAGATAAGAAAGATGAGTGTTCCCAGAATGGACCCCTGTGGTACTCCACATCTTACAATGGCAGTATTGAATAAAGTGGACACAAGGTGAATATTCATATTCATTTTAAGTACCTGAGTCACTACTTGATGGATTAACAAAGTAGTGTACTAAATAACACTCACAGTCCAAGTGGCATACAGGGAGTTGAACGTACATTTAAACTCTAATTTGATAAAAACATTGATAGAGGCTTCTTTATAGGTTCAACTTTGATAATAATGCTAAATAAACAAAAATTGATTGAATTTTCCTCAAAACTTTGCACATTCTTACCCTGTTTGTGGTACATGTTGCCCAAATTTTACCCACGAACTTGGGTGTCTCCTTTGACCCAATAATAGAAAAACCTTTAACCAACGCATTCTAGAGTGCACTACATGTCTATGCCTTTCAAAGACACTGTGTCGGATAAACTCAGACAAATCGACCTGATACTGTCTATTTGCCCAACATCCAGTTCTTCTCAACTGTCTTCCCGAATACCCCAATTCCTTGAAAGGTAGCTTTTTATGTCATCTATTGCAATTTGCAAACACGACAATGACATTATTACCTAAATCTAACATGATCTTTTACAAGCAATACAATAGGTTTTTTTCCTCTTATCCTCAAACGAGGTTTTTATTTCCATAATAGTAATACATTTGTACATTAATAACTCAATGATTGAGTGAAACATAACATAGGCTAATGATTAAAGTACATTCAACAATTCTTCCAGCTTAGTATTATTTTCTTTGCTAACCCGTTCATATCTTAGAAATAATCTTAGCAACGACTTGAATTAAAAAAACAAAGTATGTGGGTAGGAAACAGAACCATTAACAATCTTCTTAACGTAACATTTATAAATTGCATATTGCGCATAATTTAAAATAATATTCAGAAGTGAATATTCCTTGTTTCCAATATCTTTACCTACAACTATTATCTTCTGGTCTATTTTGTATTTCCATTTGGAATAGATTAAATATCAAATTACATATTATTTTCCAAACTAATACAATAGGGTATATTCATTTGCCCACAGACTTTGCGATCATGTAAGTTTTAAAATGTCTCAAAATTATAAAGAACTCCTTTAAAAAACAAACTTTCAGTTTGTCTTAGTCTCGATTATTGTGGAGATAATCACGGCCAAAAATATAAAGATAATAACAATAATAATAATAATTATTATTATTATAATAAAAATAACAGTAAGAATAATAATATATGAGATTTGTAAGGCGCCGAATCTACTTCAAATTCAATGCTCAGGCGAGCTTGTGAAACAAAAACAAGAAAAGAGATCAGCATCTGCATCATAAACAAAGGAACAGAAGTAAAAAAGAACATATAAAACTACTGCACAATTAACTACGCCGTGCCGATTTAACAGATATGTTTTACGATTATTTTTAAAAACTTGAACTGAACTGCTATTACAATCTCTCAAGGAAGAGCATTCGACGGCGAAGGCCCTGCACGAGCAAATGTTTGATTTTAATGAACTTCGGATCTACCCTTTTTTGTTGCATAATTATTAAAAGCAATATTTCCAAGGTGGGATTATGATGCGAGACTACATTGGCAATGTTCCCAGGGGGCATCAAGAAAATACATTTTGCGTCAGAGTTGTACTCTTGCGTGCCTCTTCAACCTTGATGTGTCACTTTCGCTGCAAAACGTTACAAATAAACAAATAAAAAAGATATGGAGGGGAAGGATTCAACACGTTGGTTATTTTCTACTGAATGGGAAGAATAAGTCATATCAGGCAGTTGATATCTTGCATGTGGTTCTTCTAAACTGACAATCGGTTTTAACAAATTATGTACAACATGCTGCCCTATCTGTCACGTTGGTTGGCATAATGACACACGAAGATAAGGAGTGATGAATATGGGATCTACGCAAACGTATAATCATCATGAATAGGAATACCTTTATATTTCAAAACTTTTTAGGAGTGCAGATATCTTTGTATGTATGTTTGTTCGCTCTTAGCGGTGCCGTATCGATTCACTCTACTCAAGTCAGACTCGTGTCAGCTTTTCTTCTTTTATCAAACGTGACGCAGCGACGAGAAATAAAGTGGTGTGGAGAATTTCTTTCGCGCAATGTCATCTCCCGTGCTTGGTGATCACATAAACAAATACAATAGAAATTGTCATTACATGAAAAATACAAAGGAATATGTATAGACAAGGAAATTAGACGGGTGCAAAACAATCCCTAGCAGTCTCAGGTTTTATCGAAGCAGCAACGTACGTTGTTGTTCTGCTAATGTTATCTATTTCTGAAAGGAGTCGTCTAAACTGGTTGTCGAATATGCACATGCGTCCACGTCCACCCCTTCATTACATGTTTCACGTTGCCCCTTCATACTGTCCATGGGTTCTTGGGGTTTTTCTTTCATGTGTTCATCAAAGACTTCTCTCGTCGTCTCTTCCGGGGGTTCATCTATAGGTTCTTTCATGAAGCCTTTCTCTGTCTCTGCCACTGGGTCTTGAAGTGATTCATTCACTGGCTCTCCCGTTGGGTCTGCAAGTCGACTCTGTAATAGATACGAATCCAGATAAAGAGAACAGTATTTAGTAATCATGGTAGTGAACCTCAGTCTAAGATCAATGATACTCATCATTTTAATAATGGTAATAATAATAATATTCATAATAATAATAATAATTATTTAGCGCCTTTTTCAGAGGATACAAGGGTATCTCTTAGTCAATCAAGAAATTAGGAAGATTTGTAGGCTACGTTTTTAGATGTTTTTTTTAAATAAGTCAAGTGAAGTAATATTTCTTAGTAATGCAGGGAGTATATTCAATAGGCGTTTGGGCAATGGACTGATGGATCCGAGGCCAGTCTATTTCGGGATTTGGGAGCGAGAAGGGAAGGAGCTGATGTACAGCGAAGTGAATTGTATTCTCTGCTGCTGAAAGACTGAGGAGATGTATTGAGGAAGAGTGGATGACATAGCTTTAACAGTTTGAACAAGAATCTGGTATTGAATTCTGTCAGTACTATATATTCTATAGATAAATAAATGGAAAGAATGAAAAGAAACGTTTTCTTTGGAGTGAATTGGATACTGTGATTCAAAATAATTTACAAGCTTTATGAGCACATGAGCTTAGAAGCGTGGAGCATTCATTTGTAAAATGTATACTACCATGACTACAGTGGCAGCATGTTGTTGAAGAGGAGTCCTTGCAGACAATGATATAAGAAAATTATTCTAATTTCGGGTCTTCATGAGCGAACATACAAATGTTTGTTGGAGAATATCAGATAAACCTTTTTGATCACGCTTCCTAAAAATGCAATACCTCTACATGGCTCGACATCTGCTTCTGTTTTTATTCCATCCAAGTTAAAGGATCAGCCTTTGGTGGAGACTGGAGTTTGGCTTGTTTTAAGTTTGGGGTAAGGCATCGTATGAGGTGCAGGTTAAAGTTAAGAACTTAAATAGTGTAAGAAATTGACTGCGAACCAGTTGTCACTGGATCGCAAATAAAATCCAGGAGAAGTCTCGTTTACATTAGAAGAGGCAAAACCGCGGCGGTCTACCGCGTCATTTATGAACGAGCGTTAATGAGTCTACACCTTAAAGAAAATTGTATACATTTCTATCAATGATGAAAAAGTGACTTGCCCCGTCAGGTTCTCTTGCTTTGAGGGGGAAGATATATTCTGTGATTCTGTTGTTGACTTCATCATCCAGTTTAGCTATCTTACTGGCCCATAGAGCAACTATTCGGGATATATCATCAACTAGATCATCAGCACCATGGAATTGAGCCTCGGTCTGCGGGTAAAAATTATATACGCACAAACATAACACATGAACCATCCAAATACATCTGGAAATGATGAAAATGAATAGAAGTTGAAAGGCTCCAGTTTAATCTACTATCATCATAACTAGTCAATTAAAATTGATATCTTCAGATAAAAATTATCTTACAGTATTGACTATCAATTTTATTTCATTATAATGGCTTCTTGCTCTTACTTATTCTTCAGAGCTCTGGTAAAATCTAAGTATGATTTGAAATAATCAGGAGCTTAAAGTGTAACACTTTTTTTTTTTATTAATCTCTCATCATTTTACCTAAATGGTCAAATAATAGTAGATTAGTGTCAAAGCTTACAATCGATCAGCTGAAGGCCCTGTGTCGGATCCAGGCCGGGTGGGGGGGGGACAGGGAGGACATCCCCCTCCCCTTTACAATCAACAAGGCAAATCTCTCAGTACAGATCAATTATTGTAAGAAATATATCCCCCGCCCTCCTTACCCTTGACAGCATAGTACTATGACAACGAAATGTATATAATGTGAAGACCTTTTCTTTTTAATTGTCGAAGAATTTAGAGGAAAAGGGCCCCTAACCAGCCTGAGTACCTACCTGTAACATATTAACACTGCGATTCAAATCATGTTGGTTAGCTCTCCTCCTCTTTCCAAGAGCGTCTACTATGATCTGAGATATAGCATTACGTGCAGCAGTTCTCTCAGACGGAGTCTTTGTTTTCAGCTCTTCTCTAATGACTGATGATTCTACGCTGCATGTTATCCTACTGCTGTTCATCGAAGATCTCATGCTCGTTTGCAGGAGAGTGGACTGAAGCATGGACTGAAAGGTAATAGAATTGTATGGGAATGTCGGTTCTCAATAATGACATGGAAATAAAATGTATATACAGTTTTTAGAAATTACCACCTCCATGGAAGTAGCGCTGGTGCAGCCAAAGAGGGAGCCCTCGTAATATTGGGGGGGGGGGGGGTCAATAGACCTTACTGGAAGATTGATAAGTGTATTTCCACAACAACAAATTGGGGTGGATACGGGAGTAGTTGACAAGCACGAACCCTTACCAGTCGTAATGTAGAGGATCTGGGCTAAGGAGAGTATGTGAATAGTACCAGCACTGTCGAGACAGACAGAATTAGGCTCTGCTCAAGACCTTATGGAATTGAGTTCAAGTGCCATATGAGAGTATGTGCCTGCAGACTAAAATGCAGTAGGGGTCCCGTCAACGTGTCCCTCTCTCGTTTCCTTGCAAAGCTTCCTCTATCCATCTTCCTTTTTTCTCTTTACCATTTTTTTCCACAACGTTACGTCCCAGTAGCTACTCATTAAATGGTATGTCACGGTAACGCAAATGGAATTAAATAGTTTTCATTGCTATGGGAATGTTAAAAATATATCTTACCCTGTTAATGAATCTATTTCCTTTATAGTCTGGTATTTGAGATTCATCTGTCACTTCTTGGAAGTCTGGCTTGGTTATCAAGACCTCACACTCGTCTCTGTCAGTTTCATCAAGGATCTGATCCAGCTTCTGAATAACAAGCTCTACGAATGCAAAGTCTCGATCTGTCGATGCACTCCTGGTCATGCTGTTCTTCATAGACTGCCAAAATCCAAACAAGAATGATTATAATAAATGAACATGATGATCATGATGAAAGTAATAGTTGTAGTAGTAGTAGTAGTAGTAGTAGTAGAAGTAGTAGTTTTAGTAGAAGTAGTAGTAGTAGTACATGTTGTGGTTGTAGTAGTAGTAGCAGTAGTTGTAGCAATAGTAGCAGTAGCAGCAGTAGTAGTAGTAATAATACTGATAATAATTATGATTTTTTTTTTTTTAAATAGTTGTGATACTTACAATTTGTTGTAAATAGTTATTAATAATAATAATAATGTAGCAGTAGTAACAATAGCAGTAGTAGTAGTAGTAGTAGTAGTAGTAGTGATAACGGTAATACTAATATTAACAAATAATATCCCCTTTTATTGATATGGACACGATCGAAACTACATTCGAAATATCAAGGTTAAATATGCAATAGCCTCGTTTATGTCGTTTATCACCTTTTAAAACAAGCAAACATAGCAATGGCGTATTACGTTATCTGAACATAATTTGTAAAGGATATAAAAAGGGGAGGAGAAATAGCCTTTCCGTTGATTTTTCGAAAGGAGTTGCGGCCGTGTCTACTGCTCCATCACTCAGCTTCGGTAGGTACTTATTCATTACACCAGCATCGAGAGGGACACACATGGCTCAATCACCATGTGCAAGGATGTACGGACCGAGGAAGTATCGAACCCGAGTCCTCTCGTATGAGAGTCAAAAGCCTTCACAATATACATGTACTACAAGGCTCCAGCACAATATCAAATATCATATGCGGCTTGTATATGGCTTGACATCGCTAGTATCTCACAAAAATTATCTGATGATAGTGATACTGATAGTGGTAGTGGTGGTTATTTTACCTGACAGCTAAGAAAGCAATAAATGCTTGTTCGTAAGCAACCAGAAGACCGACGGCTTAAGGTCCTCTCCGACGGACCTGGTAATGAGGAGTAATGCCTTACCAAAGGGCACTAGTGCATCGACTTGATTTCGAACCCGGGTCACCGGATAACAAGACCACTGCTCTATCGACTTAGCTATCGCGCCTCAATCGGGATCCATGCTGAAAGCATTCTTAGTATTTTAGATACATTAAAGAGTGGTATATGCAAGAGATCTTTATGTTTTCATAGTTTCTATGAGATCTCTCTTTTCAAGTGGATGGGTTTATATCTTAATCTCACTCAAATCAGTCAATTCGACGAGACTGACGCCATACTGACGATAGACTGAGCAAACAATTTCATTACCCCGAATGAGCAAACTTGTTAACATCAAGCACAAAGAAATACGAAAGCGGATTTCAGAAGGGGCGGGGTCGGGGAGCGGGAAGGGGCTGGAAGTTGGCTAGTGCCGATCGGACGGTGGACTGGCTCGGGAAGAGGTTGGGTGTGAAACGTATAGAAGACAAATACCAAGAAATACAACTTACACTGTGCAATAAAGAGGCATTAAGATTAGCACTTGCGTCCATCGGCAATTCCTTGTAAGGTTTGACACGTTTGTTTAACAGTCTTATGATGACGGCCTTGAGTGACCTCTTGAAATCATCAGATAAAGACCGGAGGTCATCGAGAAGGACCTGTCCTACTAGCGGTAGTGAGACTTCAGGGGCATCCTCAAAGATCTGAAAAAGACACGGTATAGGATTGCTAAAATATGCGTAAACTTCATATAATTTCAAGCATAATATTTGAACATTTTTAAACAAACAGCCAGACTGGGGGTTGTCAAGTTTTGGCTGTTGATCAATTTTGAAGAGATTAGCAATATAGCTAGAGTACTTACTATATCTTTATTGTAGTCTTCTAGAGGACTACCCACGCTTGCCGTTTCGTCCTCACTTTTCATCCGGGACTGAATTCTGTCAAATCTCAGGTCATCCAATACTGAATGAGGCTAATGATACGAGATAACACGTCATAAATTGAAATGTTACACTTCGAAAACAAGTAGAAAATAAGATTTCATTCCCTTTATGAAATCTAATGCATTGTCTATGCATTGTCTATTTTACATTTTGGGCTCTGTGTCCTAATGAGGTGCTGAACGCCAAATGAAATTTATATTTTGAATTGACCCTCTCTCTCTCTCTCTCTCTCTCTCTTAGGCCTTTGTATACAAGTGTTAAAAACACCCACCAAATTAAAGATAGCCTTTAACACCCAACTTTAATAGCATTCATCGAATTTGGTCATTTTCGCTTTTCGCTACAAATTAACCTGATGTTTAATTGTGTTTATATGCCGTATAAGGATAACAAGTCTTTATCAGTAAAGGACTGTTGTCTTTTTGCATCATGTAAATTTATTCTAATTCAAGTATTGCAGATTAAACATGATAAATTACAGTTAAAGTAAAGAATTTGGTTGGGAACAAATTTGGAGGAAAGTTACCGTAGATGTTCGTCGAGATCTGCGGTCTTGGACACACAATTGAGTTCCTGTGAAACGAAAAAGAAATAAGCGAATTCATGAATTAAAGGTCTTTTCTATAACTTTTCCAAATTATCTAAATCAGATATATTTTACTGATGCGTATGCACCTTCGTACAAAACACGCGAAACCTGTAATCAAAATTATCGCTTGCTTGATCTCTCCAAGACGTTTTATTGATTACTCAAGCAAGAATGACTATACAGCCCCTCTATGACACCCTGCACAACTGCACATGCCAGTTACCGCCTGAGAAAACAATCCTTCTAAAATCACTTCTTCTACTTGATCAGCAACTCTTGCAAAAAAGAGATAAGCAACATTATATCTGCCCTACAAACCTTAATAAGGCAAGAAAATATTTCTATGATGTTCTGAATAAATCCTTTAGTTTCGATAACAAAATACATACTTCTGGTTTATTATTCATAGGCTTGAGGCTGATTGAAGATTGCCATTGTCACCTCGTCCTTGCTTTAAGGCCTTAGAACTTGAACATAAGCTTGATCTTGATCTAAAAATACATGTATTAATAAAAGGTGAAGTTGTTTTATGACCTTTTACAATGCACGAAAAGACGACTTGTACTACTAACCATGTCGGCGCTTGTATACCCAGAATATTATCAAGGAAATGATGACGACTAGGATTACGAAGGTTAATGATACCCCTAAAGCAAATCTTGTTTTCTGAGTGGGTCCAGTGTTCTTCCCCGACTCTCCACCTGAAGAAAATGATATGAATTGCAATGATTTACCATTTTAGTTGTTAAAGATGTGATGACAGCTACCTTAAAACAATTTTAGAATAGAACAGGAGTCCAAACAGTTGAATAAACATTTACTTGTAACACTTAGCAGACCAGGGAAATAAAATCCAGTCGCAAAGAAGTCATGAAACCAACTAAAGGGCGATTTCAATACTCTTTTGTATGGTCCTATGATATATCCCATCAAAACCATGTTCAAATAACGAAATAACCTGATAACGATCGCATATTTCAACAGGTGATTTTTTACACTGAGCTCTGCGTTAAAAGATACAGTTATATAAAAGGTACTATACGTCATCTTTAACCAAAACAAAATCACGCTTCGGTTTTGCGTTTTTGGATAACATGTGTTAAATATGTAGTCATGATGCAACATTACAATGGAGAGTATAAGAGATACAGGACAAACACATACCCTTTATACTGTAGTAGACACACACTGATCTGTTAGCGGAAACATATTGTAGATTCTGATCTCGCGCCTTGCAGACGAGAGTGATGTTTTCCCTAAACCTTGTCAAGTTAATAGACGAGGATTGGTAGATGATGCTATCCTCCTCCCAGGTGACAACCGGGGGATGAGGAAAACCTGATGCAGAACACTCCAAAGATGTAATGTTTGAACCATTGATGTTACAGCTACAACCATCCACCTCCTGCTCAGTGCCTTTGCAGTGACTAACAAAGAAATCTAGGAAAGGTAGTCATAGAGTCCAAATAACATAGTCAATCAAACTGTATTTAATTCTGAAATGTCAAGTTCACGAATGTTGAACATGATCATCGTCAGTTTCTGAAACATATAGAGGTACGGACTATACAAACAGGCACTGACGTACTGGTGGGGGGCTTGGGGGCGCCAGCCCCCCAAATAAAATTGAACCGTGACTTATTTTCACAAGTAATGTTTAAATCTTCGTGATATCATATGATTTTCAACAAAATGCTAGTTTCTCCATTATTTCTTGCAAACTGACCCATTCCCAAATAGCCAGGAAGAGCATATGCTCTATGTTTTTTGTATAGTCACTAAGGGCTTTATAGTGGCCACTCACAGTAACACTAATTCCTTTCCAGAAGCTACTGTGCAAAGCACTGTCGGGAGTCTGGAGATAACATGCTACCCACCACTCGGGCTGATGAGCATGCACAGATTTGCGAATGAGCGTTCCATACTTACATCATGTAACACTGCACAATACCATTAAGGGGCCCAGTGGGGGAAATTGAATTCAGACAAGATTAAGAGTAGAGAACGTATCGTCTTCTTTCTCTAATAATTTAATGAAACGGCAAAGCTTCCGCGCTTCGCGCGGGGGGGGGGGGCAACTAATTTCAGACTAGGATTAAGAGTCGAGAACGGTACAACGAATCGTTTTAATCTTTCTCTAATAATTAATGAAACGCGAAAATGATTTCAGACAAGGATTAAGAGTAATAATTAAATGACACGACAAAGCTTCCGCGCTTCGAGTGGAAGGGGGAACTGAATTCAGACAAAGACACAATAAAACGATTCGTCTTCTTTCTCTAATAATTTAATGAAACTTGAAAGCTTCCGCGTTTCGCGCGGGATGGGCGAAAATGAATTCAGACAAGGATTAATAGTAATAATTTATTGAAACGTCAAAGCTTCCGCGCTTTGCGCGAAAGGGGGGGCGGAGTTCAGACAAGGATTAAGAGTCGAGAACGGTTTAGTGGTACAATGGATCGTCTTCTTTCTCTATAAATTTAATGAAACGTGAAAGCTTCCGCGCTTCGCGCAGGGTGGGCGAAAGTGAATTCAGACAAGGGTTAAGAGTAATAATTTATTGAAATGTCAAAGTTTCCACATTTCGCGCGGGTGGGGGAGGGGGACTGAATTCAGACAAGGATTAAGAATTGAGACCGGTACAATGAATCGTCTTCTTTCTCTAATAATTAAATGAACGTCATAGCTTCCGCGCTTCGCGCGGGAGGGGCGAAACAAGAATTAAGAATCGAGAACGGTACAATAGATCGTCTTCTTTCTCTAATAGTTTAATGAAGTGTCAAGAATTCCGCGCTTCGCGCGGGAGGGGGAAACTGAATTCAGACAAGAACACGATACAACGAATCGTCGTCTTTCTCTAATAATTTAATGAAACGTAAAAGCTTCAGCGCTTCGCGCGGGATGAGCGAAAATGAATTCAAACAAGGATTAAGAGTAATAATGTATTGAAACGTCAAAGCTTCCGCGCTTAGCGCGGGAGGGGGGAACTGAATTCAGACAAGGATTAAGATTCGAGAACAATACAACGGATCGTCTTCTTTCTCTAATAAATTTAATGAAGTATCAAAGCTTCCGCGCTTCGCGCGGGAGGGGAAAACTGAAAAATAACTTAGTTCCTGGCCCCGGGTTTATAGGGTTAAATTAGACATTTGGACATTGGCATTTTTATATTTGTCGGTATAATATTGGTGGCTCATTTTGTCGGTAATCGTCGGCCTCTTCACCCCTCCCCCCCCCCCCCTCCCCCACTGAAAAAGACCTGATAATGACACAGTTTATACACTCGAGATAATTTTTGCAACTACTACTGGTGAAGCACCGGACCACCGTCTTTGTGCATTGTGCGGCTTCAAAGCATAATTTATACAACGTCTCACGACGTGACAGATCACTTTTCTCTAACTTCTAACCAATCAGAAGGCCTCCTTTTTTCCATGAAGTGCCGGTGGACATTAATGCGCCAATTGTGGTTCTCAAATTGCAAAAGATCCCTACTCTTGGAAGGGGTAGGAGAAAGCAATTTTACGTCATCCTACTCCAGGAAGTGCCTGAAAATGCGTCTAATTTGGTTCTAAAATTGCAAATGCTTCTTACTCTGCTAGGGGGTCACAACCCCCTCCCAGACCCACCCCCTGCTTGGTTGCTCCGCTTCCTCGCCGTTAAAGCCTCGTTCTGTCGCTTCATCGTTTTACATATATTTCACCCCATGCCATTCCTGGATCCGCCACTGATGCCCATACCCCTTGAGCTTCGGGGGCTTTGCCCCTTGAACCTCGCCGGGGCTTTGTCCCTAGACCCCACTTTGAGAAACGTTCAGCGGGGCCTGCATGTTAGAGTGGGGGTGATTCGGATTTTTTTTTTGTCAGCCCCCCCCCCCCAAACATTTTTGCTCATTACGCCACTGCAAGCAGGAATAAGCAGGTAGAATCAGTGACTATAATTATGCAGAATACTATTGTTGTTAGGCGAGGCGTCAAAATAAATATACCAGCCAGCGGCAGCTAACTGCACTTGTGCGTCCTGGCTCCATTTTTTAAATTAGCTCAGCCGGCTACCGCTGGCGGTAGGACCCTCAATTAACTCATGATGTCATCATAATGGTCTCCGAACAAAAGCATGCGCCGGCTGCCGCCTTTCGAATGGAAACCGAGCCTCAGATCCCAGCCTGGCGCAAGCCGGCTGGGCTAATAAGTGAAAAATAATTGCCCCAGCCAGGCTTCGGCCGTAATTGCAGCCTCGATGCGCCAATACGTGAGGCGGCAGCCTGCTGGTATCGATATTTTTGACGCCTCGCCTTATTGTATTTTTATATGTACTTTGATTTTCCTTTGTAGGGTTGAGGTTAGAGTATCAAAAGGTTGAACCAGACATGTTAACATTGACATGAGGTTGTGCATGTGTTGCCTGAAAAATGAGCGTACTGGTAAGAAAAGGTAAAATTATCAACTAATATGAAATTTGAGGCATCCTGGCTGATGGACAAAAGGCATCTCCATATCTATTAGGTTTCTAATAAAGTAGACCAACAAAAATAATGCACACAAATTTGAAGACGATGGTATTTAGTGATGCATGACCCCCCCCCCCTAAAAAGGAACGTATTGGAAATCATAATTATGAATAATTCTTTGGGGAGATTCGAATTCCATTGCCTGTATAATGTATTCTATTAACTGGAATTACTCACATTTGAGGGTTTTCAAATTGTTTCTTTCTCTTTCTCTCTCTCCCTCCCTCCATTACCCTCTCTCTTTCATTTCCTCTCTTTTTCTTTCTATCTATCTCACTTCTCTTCAAGCGCATAGTATTTCCTCATCATCAACATGACTACAGTACGAAAAGTGGAAGATTGTTCAATATATACTCGTACCTATCACATACAACTGAAGTGTTTTCCCAATTTCAGCCATCGACGCTAATTTGCGGGTAATTTTACAGGAATAGTTTCCAGTGTCGGTTTCCACTAGATCCGGAATGACCAGAGAAGTGGTTCTCTTGACCGAGTAATTTCTAAGGTTAATTAGCACCGAGTTGCCATTCATGGAGTATACGGTGGTCCCATTTTTCCGCCAATATAGCCAATTGAGGTCAGAATCCGCGACTGGAATTGAACACGGTAAAGTGACGTTCTGCCCGACTGATCTGGTTACGGCTATTCAAAGAAACAAAACAAAGTGAACAAGAACTGAGACATGCATGACTAACATTTATATTCTTTTTTTTCATTCGGGTAATTTATTTATACATTATGGTGACATATAACAACTCAATGTTATGCATATTAAATTGATGTTTTGATTGATCGTTTTCAGGAGAAAAATTTACACCGAACAGATTTCATCTCTATTTCTTTGATTCATTGCAATCAATATATCACGTAACTTATTGTTATCATGTTGATTGGTAATTTGTCCTGCTTGATATGATAAAAGTATATTGCACGCGGATGACGGTATCATTTCAAATCATATATTTTTTTTCTCTCTTTGCCTCTTCCATGAGGATTTTTTTTTCACGATATTTTAATACATGTTATACATATTTACAAACAAAATTTATCAAGGGTGAACAATGGAATATTTGCTGGAAATTATAACATATCAATTACTTTCTTCACTTCTTTGACATTAAACTGTTTATTTTCTGAGTGTTTCATCATTATATAGATAGATGGTGTAAACTAATTCGGAAGGACAGTTGGTTCTACAAAAACCTGTACTTTCACATAAAATAATGCTATCTATAAAAACATATAGCTTAATTGGCGATATATCTCAATGATTTCTTTCTTTTTCTCTCTGACAAATGCTGCTTGTCCTTAATTGTTTGACACGACACCCGTGTCTATAGTCTGTCTTTGAGCCCCCCCCTAAATCACTCTCTCTCTCTCTCTCTCTCTCTCTCTATCTATCTCTCTTAGTATGTCTCTTCCTGCTTGCCTTCTCTTTCTCTTTCACTTCCTGAGCTCTTCATATCCTGTTTAGAAAAAGGAATAAAAAATGGTTGTATACATCAAAAGACTTTCGTTACCCAAGTATGTGTTTTGTGTGTAAATCTACACCATTGTCGTTAATTACCTTGTGTTGACTGCGAGATAGCTGCATTAAATAAGACAAAAAGGACACTCAAAAGCTTCCTATATTCCATGATTCCATATGAACTCCTGTATATGGAAAAAAAAACATGATCAACTCGAGTACATATTACATTGGAAGCCTAACATTCGTTCAGCTTCTTTTTGACATTTATTTCGCAAATTACAGTGACATCGATGATGCCATAGACGTATACACGCTATGGTGGTCAACAAGAAGCCGTCTAGAAAAGTAGGGCCTGTTCACAATATTCCAAGCTTAAGCCGGTCCCATTCTCCGGTCACAGAACGGTGCGGAGAGGTGAGGGGGGGGGGGCGGCAATGTGCTGACAGCCCATAGTTTAATAATCAAGCTTTCAGGTGACTTTTGACCTTTGGCCTCCATTTCTAACATAATAGTTAATGGGTACGTTCACATACTCCTTACAGACATTGCAATATCAAGACATTTAGAAACGAAATGAGAATTACCCCATCAATGCACGCGAGACTTTATCTGTGGTCGCTGTAAGAGCAACAGTTGAAATAAAAATGAAGAGTCTATTGATGATAATCTACCACTCTTAGGGTGCGTTTAAGCTCAATTTTGAAGGCAGAATGAGCGATTTGAAACGCTCATCGTAATCGCAGTTTCACGGTGTACTGTTTATGCTCACTTCTCTGGCTCCTCCGGGCATGATTCTGGCTCAGAGGACATTTTTTTTTTTTTTGGTCTCGAAATTTGAAAAATTGACATTTTGCTCGGTTGGGGGGGGGGGGGGGGGTAAGGTCAACTTTTTTAGGTCAGCCATTGGTATAATTTTTTATTTTTTTATTTTTTTATTTATTAAAAAAAGAAAGACAAAACATATTACCAAAGGGGGGGGGAGAGTTTTACTCGAAAATACGCACATAAAAAATACCAAGGGGGGATTAACCCCCCCCCCTCTGTGTACGCGCCTGATGTCTACACACCGTAAAACATTTAGGTAAGCCGAGATCGACTTGTTTCAGTCATGAAAAGCAATCTAATTATGCGACAGACAAATATGATCATGGTAATGTATTATAGTCAGTTCAGCAGAATAATAATATTATAGCATAACAATGGCGAAAATTCTGGGATCAAACACATCTAAAATGGTGTGCTATTAACCATTGAGGTATAAAGCAGCCAGCGCATCAGATCATACTACTGTACTTACTTACTTTACTTTACTTTAATCCAACGATGCTATAGGACTATGCCTGTTCATCGATCGTACATTGTAGAAGTCCTCTTGAGAGTTCAGTCATTATAAATTATCACAGGGAGATGAGGGAGTTGCAACTCCCTGGTTATCCTGTGAGAATCGTACATGTAACACGAGAACGAACTTACCCGAAGGTCCGGAGGTGTACCTCTTGAAAGCCTTCCATGTAAATATGTTATAGTAGCCTATTGGAATTACAGTATTCCACTCGGGGAAGGAAGTTCAAGCAGTCATTCAAGTTCACAGTAGCACAATACTAAAACCATGCAGCTACCTGTATTATCTCTATGCTTAAACATGGCGGGTATACGAACAGAATTCCAAGGCATAATGTACGTGTACGTACACTCAGCGCAGAGCTGGAGGCATGAGATGAGACGTGGAGAATGTAGAGCGCGAGGAGGTTGGGGAATCCCCTGCCCGTGACGTCTCTCCTCCCTCAACCCCCCCCCCCCCCCCATAGTATAGTAGTATAGTATTTATTTTCCGTTTTAAAAACAAACATATAATACAAGTATATGCATAGTGTAAATAAAACGGTGGATAGCCCATATTCAGCTGTGCCAGGCACGACACTGCTGGTCTTCCGTGGGGTCCAGGAATCATATTAAGGATATATTGACTGTTTTAAGAGGCATAGTGGTTTCTATAGGGTCAAGGGAAACTCACAACCTGCTATGACCCCAAGGCGCTTGCGCCGCGGGGTCATAGCAGGTTGTGAGTTTCCCGAGACCCTATAGAAACAACTATGCCTCGAATATTAAAAGCAGTCAATATATATTTTATATACCGAAAAAAAGGAAAATGTTGACTCACCCATTTGAGATCGGTGATTTGTGTTTCACAAATCCTTTCCCTTGCTGTTTAAGCGTTGCTGAAAAACACTTGAAAATTCTTGACGAATTTGCAAAGTCTTCATGCTTGATAATGTCTACAGATTTAGTATTGAGAAAGTGACGCTGAAGTCCGAATCTGATCGTTAGCATTGATTTTTTGCTGTAATAATCGCCGTTCTTCTGCCAGCAACCCGCATAGAATTTTTGAAGGATCTTGTCCAGGTCTGCATTCGGAAGTCTGTTTACATCTCCGAGGTCCGTGTTGACATTTCGCAAGAACTCTTCAAATATTTTAATGCCGTATTTTACTGCATACTTCGTATTTTTGCTATCAGCAGAATCGATTAAGTCTTGCAGCTGAATGTCATCCATAAGTTGAAATCTTGGCATAGCTGTGTCCTCCATTTTGCCTCTTTATTGACAAAAAATTGGTAACAAAAAACCCCAGTATTTTGCGATCGAGACTAGTACACAAAATGGCGATCGGTCGTCTGCGCTGCGTGGATTGGTAGAAAAGTCGCCAGAATGCAGCGACCAAAATCGAATTGCACTCAAACACCGTTAACGGTATTGCGCATCGGTCATCGCACAAAAGAAACTTATACGGTAACACGTAAACCAAAATGGGGATCGCAGCAAAATGACGTCACGTTTCACAGCCATGGAAAAAGTGCTATGAAAAATGGATATAAACCGGTAGAGCCGGGAAAAATGACTATGAATTTCAATTAGCGGGCATGGTTAAGAACATGACTGCATTTTCAACCAATCAGAAGACAGGATTAGTAAAGAATCTTAAAATGAGGTATATAAAAATAAATATAAAATATGACGTACAATTATTTACTAAATTAAAGGGTATAAGAAAGGTACAATACACAGTTATAAATGCTTAAACTCTACAAAATGGTAGTTGTGTAAAAGGACTACGAAAGTCCACCCCCCCCCCCCTCCCGAGTCTGGAATAGGTCAATTTATTATCAAGGTCTGGGTGATTGGGCATGTGAGTAGAACAACGTTAATTCGCGCTTAAAACTATTCAGAGTGGAGGCATTTCTTACAATTACAGGGAGATTATCATAAGCAATATCTCCTCTATACTTAAAAGTTCTTTTCAAAAATCCAGTATTATGCTTAGGCGTATATAGTCTTCCGCCAAAGCGTAGGTGGTATTCGTGCACAGAGATACTAAAAAGGTCTGAAATGTAAACAGGGGTCATCTCATTAAGTGATTTAAACATAATAGCAAATGCTGATTTCTCCTGTCGTGTAACGATTCCCAGTTAAGGGCATTGTGAATTTCTAAATTGGGTATATGAGAGTCACGATTGATATGTAAAATCAAACGCCCAGCACGATTTTGGAGCTTTTGTAATCTTTCAGTTAAATATTTGCAGGCCGAACCATATACAACATCTCCATAGTCGAAGTGGGGAAGAACAACTGCATTATATATTAGTTTTAATATAGATTAATTCAAGGTGCTTCTTAATCTACCAAGAAAGCTTACCATTTGTCCTATTTTTTTCACCATCTTATCAGTGTGAATATTCCATTATATTTGCTCATCACAAATGACACCTAAGTACTTGACATTTTCCACTTGTTTAATTTTGGTCTGACAGAGGGTGACATTTAAGTTCTTTTCTTTTGACAACATGTATCGACTACCAATAAGCATACAAACTGTGTTTTCAAAATTTACACTAAGTCTATTTTCCTTCATCCACTGGTGTAAAATAAGTAGGTCACTTTTCAGAGTTGACTCAATTTTGCGTACTGAGGTATCGGAGGAATATATCATTGTGTCGTCTGCATATAACTTTAGACTGCTTGATTTAATGTATTTGACAAGATCGTTAACGTATATTATGAATAAGAGGGGCCCTAAAAGCGACCCTTGCGGGACCCCGCATGATATAAATTTGGAAGATGAAAGAGAATGATTTACAAGGGTTTTACATGTTCTTCCATTCAAATAGCTATAAAACCAGTCACTCGACATATTTTTATACCAATGTTATGCATTTTCTTCATAAGAATTTGATGGTCGACAGTGTCGAAAGCTTTTCGCAGGTCGATAAAAATACCTGTGTATTTAGACTCGTCCATGGCCTGAAGCCAATCATCTGTGACCTTTATTAGGGTAGATGTTGTCGAATGCTTAGGTCTGAATCCAGACTGTTCTCTACATCAAATATCATTTTTATGCAAGTAATCTAATAACTGGTGTTGTACAATTCGTTCCAAAATTTTAGACACACAGGGCAATATCGAAATTGGCCTGAAATTACCAGGGGAAGATTTATCACCATTCTTATGTAAAGGCACAATCTTAGCCGTTTTCCAAGGATTCGGGAATTTTCCAGTTTTCATTGATTTGTTGAATAAGTAAGTGAGGGTGGGACCAATTTCAATGGCGCTTAATTTCAAGATAAATACTGATATTCCATCAAGACCAATCGATTTTTTATTTTTCAATTTTTTGATTAAGTTCAGTGTGTCAGTTTCAGTTATGGACACAAAGCTAAAAGTGCTATCCAGGGTTGCGTTATTTTCGTGTGAATAGTGACCTGGTGGAATTTGTTCGGCTAAAGTTGTACCAATACTTGCAAAATACGAGTTAAACTCTTTCGCTATTTTAACACTTTCATTCGTATCACCAATTGTAGAATCACATGTTTTAACAGAAATGACTGATTTTAAAATTGTCCATGTTTTTCTGGGATCAGTATTTACATTTGAAAATTTATCAGTAAAATATTTGCGTTTCGCCTTTCGAATTTCAAATGTAACTTTATTACGAAGATTTCTGTACTGTGACATCATATCACCATTCTTAGTCCTGAACGCTTTATGCTTCATTTTGTCTCGATCTTTCATCAGCTTAAACATGTTCGAATTCATCCAGGGAGTATTACGTTGTTTTGACCTTTTCGTTCGAATAGGCATATGTTTATCAATTACATCGATTAAAAGTTTTTCCCATTTTCTAACAGCATCATCAATATTTTCGATGTCTTTAATTATTTCCCAAGGTTGATTTCTAAGGTCTGATTTGAATTTGTCGGTATCAAAGTTTTTGCAATTTCTAAATTGAACTGTACATGAGAATGAAGTCGATTCGGATTTCAGAACCAGAAAGCTGATGGAATGATCGCTTAATCCATTATGAATGACACCGTGTGATTTAACTCTATGTGAACAATTGCTTAACATGTGGTCTACTAGAGTTGCGGACTGGTTAGTTACTCTTGTTGGTTCAGTCGTATTTATCTGCTCAAAAGCAAAGATATCGTTAATATCACCGTACATTCTGGTATGCGAGGAAGGTACCTGCAATAATATATCACAATTTACATCACCAACCAATATGCTATCTTTCTTCAAACTATCAATATATTGCAGAAATATTTCATACGCCTTCAGTACATCAATTGTAGAACTCGGTGGCCTATACCATGTAGTAACTAAGAGCGGTTTACAAATCTTTGAATGAACAACAACAGAGACGATTTCTAAATCGTTGAGAGAGTCATGATGTAAGATCTCCACTTTTAAGGATTTATGAACATAGAGGGCGACACCTCCACCTTGACGATTCCGGTCTTTTCGAATCGTGACATAATTTTCAATTGCTATCTCGTGGTCACTTACAGAGTTGTCAATCTTGGTCTCATTCATAGCAAATATATCAATACTATTATAAAATAAAAGTGACTTTAATTCATCTAAATGCCCAATGAGACTGTTTACATTCAGCTGGGTTATCTTTAAACCCCTGCAATTAAGTTCTTCATATTTTAGATTACCCTGATTTATATCACTTGGTAAATTATTGAACTCTGGATTGGTCGTTGTTGTTAATGATTTCGAAGGTAGTTGTTCCACATTAGAAAAAGGCAGCTCTTGAAATAAGCATTTTGGACAATGCCAATTCTCAAAGGAGGTTGATAAGTTGTCGTAAACTTGAGGGGTTATTCCAACACAGCTAATGTGCAACCAGTTTGTACATACAGTACAACGGAGACCTTTCTGATTCTTTTTTACGGGTTTTTTACAGCAGACACATGGGTATTTATACTTAACATTGACAAAGGACATCGTTATAAAAACAGTATGAAAACAACAAAAAACATAAACAAATCAAAAACGTCTTAATTCAAAAATTCAACAACAAAAAAAAGAAGATAATTTATAAAGAAGACGAAGCTTGGGGTCGTGGGCCAATAGACCAGTGGACCAATAGACTGTTCAGCTCAGTCAAGCCTTAGTCTGCAGATACAGACTCTAGTTTGACACTAGAACACAATTCCACATAGTCTTGAAGCCGAGCCGATACTCTAAACGTTTCTGGCTGTGTGAAATCATGGATATCCATGGTGAAATATAGCAGAGCCTAGCTATAAGGCTAGACCGTCCAGTCTGCTTTTCTCACAGATCAGACACACTAATACGACTGACAAGGGTCTGTGCTTGTGTCAAGTATTATTCAGCTTTTATGGGTGAGTTAGGTTGGCCTACTGGTAAACTTGTAATCTATGTACTTTGATCATTCCCATTCCCAGTGATAAAGCATCATAGCAGGCAAAACAACAAGGTATGCTATTATTTTCTCCGCAAATTATATATTTTTAATCGTTGTAACTGAAATATTTGTGGCGGCTTATGTTAGTGTGTGACGTTCAATTCTATTCAATCACTGTGTGCTCGCTGCATTACTTTACAATATTTATTATTCAACAGGATTGATGTTGTTATTATTTCAGAATTTCCAAGTCCTTCTAAAAGCAATTATCCTTATTTCTTACACAACATCACAAAATAATTTGTAATAATTACACGCATACATGTTGTTTAACTTGTCCCCCTAATCCCTATACTGCCAGTGCCCCCATCAATGACTGGATCCTTTCTACTCCTTCGTGAATGTCAATGCTGAATAAAGTGTACCTGGCAGGCTGTAATTAACTTGCCATTTTTATGACGTGGCCTTCAACATTCATGATCACGATATCAACGTGATTCCCATTTGCCACTGGGTGCCGCGATTAGGTGGTACCTTCCTATTTTCAGGTGTTCTCCCCTTTCCGTCTGTCTATCTCTCTCTCTCTCTCTCTCTCTCTCTGTCTTTCTCTCGTCTCTCACTCTCTCTCTCTCTCTCTCCCGCTCCGTTTCCTCTCTTTCTATTTCATTCTATTTCTATCTCTCTCTCTCTCTCTCTCCCTTTCTTTTTCGCTTTCACTCTCTCTCTTTCTCTCTCTGTTTCTCTCTTCTGTCGCCATTTGAAAAGGGGGCACATGACCCCATGCCCACATAGTATCCTACTATATAACATTACAAGAATGGGTTTGTTTTGAGAAAAGGATCAATTTTCGATTTTATTATGTTGGTACTAAAACTGCCAATAAAGCTTCGCCTTTGACAAACCGGTAGTCATAAAATAGTCCATTATACGAAAGTTAAAACCCTTCTGAATCGTTACTTTTCTAAAAGAAAATTAGGTTTGGCAAATTTCAATAAGCTTCATGATTACAAAAAAGCATTACATTACAAAAAATGTATAATCATATAATACAACTCCAATTACACATGTGCATAATATAATGGTAATTATATACAGAATCCCGTCACAGACGCTAATATCATATACCACATGTGACATTTCCAAATGTGAAACGCATATGACTTAATTACAAATACCGAGTATGATGAAGAGCACCGAAAATTAGAATTGAAATCGAAAGAAAAAAAATCTTCTATATTCCCCTACATGCATATTAATCCTCTTCTAGTAAGAGTGCCAATAAAATTGAGAAAATTCAAGCCAAAAAAATATGTTATTTTCACAATAAAAGGCGACTGTGTCATTGTATGCGCACTCATTCACTTTACATTGAGGTTTGGGATTTTTGGACATGAAAGATATCATGTCGATGCTTGTGAATAAAATTCCTGAAATAAACCTTTTCTCTATAGTTTTTACTCGTTTTTGCACGAATAGATAAACAAAAAAAGGATGTCAAATTTACGTTGCATGTCTATTTTATGCTATATTAAAAATCGCGCCGTTTTACTGTTTTACTTTTTTGGGTTCTGTTTTCTTCTTTTTTTTCCTTTTTTTTTTCTTCTTCTTTTTCATCTTTCTTTTTCTCCCTTCTTTTCCCCCCTTTTTGTTTTCACTTGACCTCCCAAGGGGGGGGGGTTAAACCGCGGACCCCCCCCCCCCGTAGATCCGCCCCTGGCACTCTACTAAGCAATAAGTGACCTGCCAATGTCCCAAATAAGGTATAAAAAATGCTCATCTGACCGTAATTAAATACCTAAAACCCCTGAGCTTCCGGGTGCTCTGCCCCCTGAACCCCACCAAGGGCCCTAAGGCGGGCCCCTGGATGCTCATGTGACCGTAATTAAATACCTAAAACCCCTGGATGCTCATCTGACCGTAATTAAATACCTAAAACCCCGAGCATAATAATAATAATAATAATAATAATAGCCTAATAGCCTAATAGTCCACTCCAAATTTTATTAAACCGACAAGGGCCTTATAATCGCTCGCTTGATCACTGCAGCACAAACATAGCTCGTTCGACGTCACTACCAAACTAGCCAATCAGCTGTCAATGACGTCATATTGAATGCGGCGGCAAATATATTTTGTGAAATTATCGAGAAATTGACTATTTCTAATTGCAAACTAGTTTTATTTTTGGATGGAAAAGCAGCCATTGTTATCTTGACATTCATTGAAGTCATCAGAAAAGGGTAAGTTACTTCTCAGATTATTCAAGAGGTCCATTTTGTAGATAAATTTTCAATTTCTTAGAATGTTCCACTGTGTTGCAGGGCACCGGGTGTATGCTATTGGGTGTGATGTGTTCGCGCGCTATACGTACAGGCCACCGCGCCGTCGGGTGTATTCTCGTACTGATGTAGGTGCAAAGCTAGAATGGCTACCACGCCCACTTCCCTATCTTATTATGCCTTTCTGAACATTCCTTTCCTTCTCAATACAATAACTTTCACCTGCCTAAGTTATTCAAACCATACCGCCTCGCCACTTCCATTACGTAATCATTAAAAGGATCCGCATATACAACATTTTCCTGCTATACGTTGTACCGCAGGAAAATACAAATCTCCCTTTATACCTTATAGTCCAAACGATAAATATGTGCCTTTAACGAAGCAGGCGACAATCGGCGTAGCAGACTAAATTGAAAAATTACGGTGGGGGTGGATGAAATGGACATAATGAAATAGGCAGAAGTGATCTATAATAATTCATGCTTCTTATCTTTCGTGTGCTCGACCTAGAATCTTAAAATCACTTGGCAAACTGAGTCCAAAGTTCGACTTGTTTCACATGTGCATTATAGGCAATGTCGAGCTTGCAACCTATTTTGAAAAATTACGGTGGGTGAACTTTCAAAAGTCAATGAGACATGAGGGCTCCAATGAAAGAGCTAGTGATAACGTACGTCGGGGTGGATGTGCTTTTCGTTTAAACAAAAAATGAATTTTTAACGATTTAAAAAAAAACGTCCTTAGGCTAACATGTTAGGCTGCTGACTCCGACGATAGGGGGCGTTGTGAAATGAGACTAAACGGAGCAATATGAACTGCTTCCGGCGCGCCTGGTACTATGGAAGTAAGGTTTTTACTAAATGTGCATATCCCACAGGCGCGTACGCAGGGGGGTGTTTGGGGGGTTAAACACCCCCCTTTGGTATTTTTACAAGTGTAAACCCCCCTAAAAAAACCTAAAACTCCCCCCCCCCCCCCCCCTCCCCCTTTGGATTTTTTTTTTTTTTTTTTTTATTATTAAAAAAAAAAAAAAAAAAAAAAAAAATTACCTCCATGGCTGACCTAAGAAAGGTGACCTTACCCCCCCCCCAACGGAGCAACATGTCAAATTCTCAAATTTCGAGACCAAAAAAAAAAAAAAAAAGTGTCCTCTTACCCCCCCCCCCCCCCCCCCCCCCCCCCCCCCCCCCCCCCCCCCCCCCCCCCCCCCCCCCCCCCCCCTGAGCGACTTTTCGGCTGGCTGAGTCGTTGCGATTTTTTTTTGGACTCCCTAAAAAAAAAAAAAAGTGTCCGCTTACCCCCCCCCCCCCCCCCCCCCCCACTGAGCGACTTTTTGGCCGGCGCAATTTTCAAATTTTTCTGAGTCGTTGCGAAATTTTGGACCCGATTTTAAAACCCCCCCCCCTTGAAAAAATCCTGCGTACGCCACTGATATCCCACATATACATATATCGTCTACAAATGCAACTAGACATAATCTATGATAAAAAGCGAAAAGAAGTACATGTACAACTCACGAAAAGTCTCTATGTTATATCACACCTATAGTTACATGCAGATAACACTACTTACCAACCAACTCTAAATACCCTTATAAGTTCTCAAGATATGCATTATAATCCATGCGCCATTGTAATAACTACAGACTGTGAGATTTGTATCATATCCATGACGTAGGCAGTGTTCATTTTACTCACAATCGGTTCAATAATTCCTTCTATAGTTCTACATGCATGATAACACGAAAATGACAACATTGTCAATTTTTCTATAACAATTGTGACCTCAGCTTATTTCAAAATGGCAACATTCTACATGACGTTTTTATTATTTTACTCTCCTTAATTCTCTTATTAGTTTTTTCAGAATTGTATAGAGAATAATTTGCGTTTGGGTAGATAAGAAATAATACTTGTTGAGCTTTTTTACATTCTTCATATATCATAGTATAAAATTTCAAAAGATGGCTTTTCAAATGTTATCATATTCAGGATATGAGGAGAAAAGGCTCAGTTTGGACCATACTTTCTTGCCTTGAGTAAGTGGTCCCATACATACACACATTTCTGTGTGCGGTGCATGGAATGTTTAACAAAGCTGGGCCACATCTTTTTCATTTTGCCGATTACGTGAAACCTTACATTTCACAGCTAATTCTTATGTCTACATCATGAACCTGTTAACCTGTCCCATGCAATAGATTCCAGACATTTTTTTCTTCCACAATTTAATGGTATTTCAAGTACTACACACAATCTCAAAGAGGGTAAGCATAAGCTAAACGTTAGCATACGAATTTCTGTATAACATATGAAAATATTTTAAAATATAAAATATACAAAAAAAACATACACTCTTCGAAATTTAAAAGTAATCACTTCTGCAATACCTAATACCTCTATTCATTAGTAGCTAACTTTTCTGATTTAAAGGAACGATCCTTTGTATTAATCTACCAAAGCACTCTTCTGTCAAACCATCTCCTCTGATATGAAGCACAATCATGCAAAATAGGATGAGTGAAACTTCCATTATCTCTCATATGCTTGGCAATGAGATTCAATATCTTTGTATTCACCTACGCCACGTCATCGTCTATTTTCTGCAATAAGTCACTTTCCATTATCTCAAACGGTGAGAAAACTGTTACTAATAAATATGAGGTTGGTTTCAGTAGAAACGGAAACATTACAAAAGAGAAGCAGATCGGTGAATATTTGAGCAAACCTGATAAATAAGGAAGCAATTAATTTGTTAAGTTTTGGTCAATGCAAACGTGTCTTTCGAGGTCCTATCCCCTTTTTCTGTACAAAAATGTAATCAATTTTCATTTGCCTAGTTGTTGATGAAGGATTCTTTTATCATACTGGGGTTGTGTAACATTATTTTGTGTAAAGATAGTAACTAGGGTGCATGCACGATTAGAACTTTTTAGTTCCTAGAAATAAAAAGTTGTTGATTCTTCTTTTGTGTAGAAAAGAGCAAAATGGAGGAGAACTTGCAAGATGCATTAACAAGTTGTCAAGATATGTTTGATCGATTGCGACTTCCAACAATTAATACCTTCCATATTTTTCAGGTTTTGCTCAAACATTTACTTATCTGTTTCTCGACTGTTTGCGCTTCTACTGAATTTACAACGATTTTAGGTGGACTTCCCCTTTAATAGCTTGACATGAATTCAGGTAATAGGAGGTATGCAGTAAATAGACTCTTCGCTATCTCGGCATTTTGTCTCCGAGAAGCTTTGCTGTCGAGGGAATGTCTGGAATCTCGTCCTCTTCCTGCCGAGTTTTTACGACTGGTTGTGAATCTGAACTCTGTGAAAAAAACAGAAGCAGAAATAGCAAAAATGAGACAAGGTATCATACAATATCAAGGCCTTCTTCTCAAGACGGTCCTTTTATAGTAAAAGGAAAAGCGCCCGAATGTAAAAGAAAAGGATGTTTAAACACTTGGTTATATTAATATGTAAAATTGAAGTTGAAAGGTGTAATCAATTATCACGAATTTTAGAGTGAAAATTACCTTAAAGCTATAATTTTGATTTAACCATTGATGTGATTCAAATTTAATTGAGATTTCCATAAAGTGCTTAATATCTGAAAAATAGAGAGAAAAAAAGGACCATATTCTTATGATATTGGTATGCTTGCCTTGTTGACATTTCTTGGTTTGAGAGGAAATAAATACTTCTTGATGCGATTGTTGACGCCATTGTCTAGCTTCACAATCTTACTGGTCCAGAAAGCAACAAGTCGTGAAACCTCTTCATCTACGACTTCATGTGCATACGATGAAGCATTGATACCCTGAGTAAAGATATACAACAGAGAAAAATAATCAACAAAATAAAGAACCGATGCATTTATGAAATGCTTATTTATATTATGGACAATATTATACGATAAGAAGTGTGTTTTCCAAAACTCTCCAAAACCACCTTAGGAATATATACTCTATCACTTTGTCATGAAAACAACGAGTTCACGTAATTATAAGAAAATGGTGAAGTAAAGCTATACCTTCACTTTGCAAAGGATATGAAGAGTTAGAGTCATACACCCTCTCACTCTCCCCTCCTACCGAAGCCCCTGTATTCCTTGCCCTATGCGATGTACGATGCACCAAATGAATCTCATCTCCGAGTAGTATCTTAACAAACTATTCTCACACATATACTATTTAATGAAGTGTGTAACATTTACAGATTTCATCTCTACTTACCGGCAACATAACGGTACTGCAATTCAAATAACTGCTGACCTCTAGTCCCAGGTGCCCTGTCTCCTGAAAATCCAGAATGATTTGAGAAATAGCGTTGCGTATCGCTGTTCTATCGGTTGGCTTCTTCACTAGTTTCTCACGTAAGGCAGTAGCCAGTGGGTGGCATGCCACCATACTCCTGATCATTGATGACTTCATGTTTGCTTGCATGGGTAGAGACTGAAGTTAAATAAGAAATATTGTAATCATAACATGGGGGTATATTCCATTTAATAGCGTTATTATGAAGTTGGTAAGTTTTTTTAAAGGAATTGACATCAACAATCAAGCAATAATACCTGGCCAAGTTACCACTGCAAACATAGCAAAAATTTCGTCTATACAAGGACAAGTCCAAGATATTTACTCCCATATGTAACCGACCAGGCGCGGATCCACGGGGGGGGGGGGGGGCGACAGGACCGCCCCCCTGGTCTTTTTTTCTTCTTCTAAAAAAAAAAAAAAAAATCTTAATATTTGTTGTTGTTGTAGGAAGTGCTCAAACTTAACCCCCCCCCCCCCTCCCACTGAGCGAAAAAAAAAAACTGTCTGCGTTTTTCAACTTCCCCCCTATCGGCAAATCCTGGAACCGACTTCATGTCAACATTCAAGATTTCAGTATCTGATGACTGCATCGATGTGATAGCCCTAATAGAGCTTGAATCAGGCAAAGAGTTCACAATGCCATAATACGAAGTAACAATACATGGGACCTACCTTGAACTTGCTGATACAGATTTTAGGTGTATGGTTTACTTGTAACGCTATAACCTACTTGTACTTCCTCAGATACCGGTTCAAACATGATGAAAAATGTTCTCACCTGATTGATGTCTGTTTTACCCTGATAGGCTGGTATTTGAGATTCATCGTTCACTTCCTGGAAGTCTGGCTTGGTTATCAAGATCTCACACTCGTCTCTGTCTCTTTCATCAAGAATCATATCAAGGTCCTGAAGAACCATATATACGAATGCAGTATCAGGATCGCCTAAGTTCTCAGTCTTCATGCTCTTTTGCAAAGTCTCATTCTAAAGGAAATAACGGAAAATAATGCATTTACTGGGTGGATCGCCTAAATTTTGCAAACTCTAGTCTTCCCAAAGATAAATTCACCCTTGATAAATATTATTCGTTGTGTGTATATGTTTGTGAATATGTATAACATGTACAAATATAGTGAAAATCAATAAATCCTCATGGAAGAGGAAAAGAGAAAAAAAGTCTTTTAAAAGACATGCATGTGACGGTCAATGTAAAGATTTTGTGGTCTAGTAAATAAGTTTCCAGACTGTGAACCTCGAGGTACGGGGTTCAAATCTCTGCTATAGCACTAACGACCTCTGGTAATACGCCTGCCACACTCGACCCATGTTTAGTAAGTGAGTACATGGTAAGATTTATTCTTTGAATGAACCGAGTGCAACGGGTGCATGAGCTAAAGCTATTAAGGTAACGGTATCTCTTTGGACGATCATCCACATGTTATAACACGATAATGTGATATGCGCGATATAACGGCAGGATTTATTATTATCAAGTTTTATTAAATCTGTATCTCTCATGAATATGAAGAAGACGGATCCCTTCTGGCACATCTCTTTATAAACGAGTGTATGGTAGAAGCATTTTATCAAATGAACAACCTATTGATGTACAAAACTTAATCAACTGACCATGATTGAAGCATGGATAGTAACAGTGGGATCCACAGGTGACTGTTCAAATTTGTAAGGTTCGACACGTTTTTGCACCAATGCATTGACGGCAGCCTTAATCGATTCCTTGGTTTCTTCTGGCACGGAACGTAGATCATCAAGAAGCAGCAGTCCAACCAATGAGAGTTGTTGCTCATCGTTCACCACCTGAGAAACAAACCCGATAAAACACACTATTAAAACAGGAAATAACTGTACTTTCACGTGAAAAAGATGAATATGATACTCACATGTCTAATGTGGCACAATTCTGCCAGTGCGAATCACATGACCGTTTCTATTTTTGTTAGGAGATAACAAGGTCATGTTATGTAGTGGTCATGCGATTGATAAATGTAACAGTGTCCAGAATATTTCTTGGGAGGAGGAAATAAGGCTAGATTTTGATTTTATTGATTCATTAACGACTACTGTTCGGTAGTGTGGTAAGCACATACTTTCCGAGTTCTGATACTACTGACAGAGAGTGACTGCTACTACAGACTGCTCCCACTGAACCTCATTTCATTCATTACATAACTGAGACTGACAAGTCTGTTTCTGTTAAGAAATTTAAGAAAGTTGTCGTTACTTAATTGGACTTTATTTAACGTTCAGAATCTATTTATGCCTATCAAATACTGTTGGTGTTTTGACAAACTTGTTGAGCTCACACACATTTTATACATTTTTAAAAGATAGTTGAGACATGTTGGTAAAACTTACTGCTTCTTGATTGCAGTCCTTTGGAGAATGATCATCATCAATTCCATCCTCGATGGATATGATCCCTGGTTGTGATGTGGGTTGAAATCCTACGCTGCTTCCTTTGGACTGAAAACGATGTACATAATTATAGTACACTGTTGCCCATGAAGTTGGAATATTTTGTTCTTACCTATTTTCAAGAAATGAGTGTGACAATATGAATTAATCTTGATAGATGGAGTTTGTATCTTCTCAGAACTTTATTGATCATCTTTAAAGTTCTGAGCAGATGTACCTTACATATCAAGAATAAATGATATTGGCAAAAATATTTCATGAAAAGAGGCAAGAAAAATAATTCCAACTCTATGGCAAACAGTCCATATGTTTATTCGTTTTCTTCAAGATTGTCACGACTGAGTAACTGAGCTTCTCGGAGTAGACAGATAGATTTTTCATTCGATGAATGCCAACTAGAAATACGGAGTTCGTATTTTGTATAAAGATTGTTATATATATTTTTTTCCAACGCCCCTCACAATGAACACAATGACATCTTAGAGTGAGACTACAAGCTGCTTAATGAGTAATTGTCCTATAATGAGGTTGTTGACCTTGAGCGAGGCATTTCCTCTACATTGATTCTATCCACCCAGGTGTTTGATACCAGATAGGATGTGAATGTCATTTTACTTGGATTAACATGGGCGTGCTTAGGAGCACTCTAATGTGTACAACCGTAATTAAATCCAGTGACTGGGTTTATACCATAATAATACTTTTAGCGCTGTGGACGATTACATACCATCTTTGTGACTGACGGAATGCTGATGTTTATTTATCTATTCATATTTATATTGTTGTATTGGGCCTTCCTCACCATTATAATCATTTCAAATATTACATGTATCACCTTTAATAGAAGCTACTTTCGATTTTTCTAATGTATAACGTATGCCTACTTGTAAGTTTTGATTATAATTATATGTAATTATTTCTATATATGTCTTTATTTCTATTGTCTTCTACATTTGTAAAGCGCATTGGTATTACCTTCGGTAATTAAATGCGCTATATAAGAGCTAACTATTATTATTATTATTATAACTGAAAAGGCACTGAAAAAAAACTTAGTAGTAGTAGTTGTCGTTTTGGAATATAGTTTCATGTGTTGTCCTAACGGGTGGTTTATGCAGGCGCGGATCCAGGATTTCTTAGGGGAGGGGGCCCACCTTTTTTTTTTTTTTTTGCTCCCGAAAATGTGAAAATCGCGCCGGCCGAAAAGTCGCTCAGTGGGGGGGGGGGGGGGGGGGGGGGGGGGGGGGGGGGGTAAGCGGACACTTTTTTTTTTTTTTTTGAGTCCCCCCAAAAAATCGCAACGACTCAACCAGTCGAAAATTTTAAAATTTGCATCCCCCCTTGAGCGCCAGGGGGGGGGGGGGCCCCAACCCCCCAAAAAGGTAAAAATCGCGTGATTTTACATGATTTTTTTCTCAAGGGGGGGGGGGGGGGGGGGGCCCCCCGGGGCCCCCCCCCCCCTGGATCCGCCACTGGGTTTATGTTGGTAGTTTCCGGTGGACAGGGATAATAGTCATAGGATAGATCTGTCCTTTGGATCTGTCCTTTGGATCTGGCATCATTGGAGCAATATTTACAATACATTGACCATTATCAGACGGAACAATTACGTTGCGATAGTAAAGTTTCAATAGTGTTGAGAAGTATTTTCACAAACATATAACAACAAATTAAGTTGAATGACTATGGAATGCGTCAGTTCCATTTTGTTTTTGTATTGGTAGATCATTAAATAAATGAATGAATGATACCGATATGGTCTACTCACATTTTTCCAGCTGTCCTTTAAAACACCGAAATTTCCTCCAGTTGGTTTGGGCTACAGTTAAAAATAACGTAAGAAGTGATTAATGATGTGCACGTGTTTCTTCGGGAAATAATTTTCATGAATTAACAAAGAGCAATTCATTATTAGCCTAATGACGATGTAATTTTAAATGCGAATACACACTTTTTTCATTTTTGAATCCTTGAAAATTCTGTTTGTTTAGGTTACTGCATGTTTTTAATTGTTTGTTAAATATATTATTGCTATAGTAAAGTTTCAATAGTGTTGAGAAGTATTTTCACAAACATATAACAAAAAATTAAGTTGAATGACTATGGCATGCATCAGGGTTTTTTCTTTTTGCATTCTTAGATAATTGAACGAATGAATGAATGAATGTTGACAATATGTTCTACTTACATTTTTCCAACTATCCTTCAGTACTCGAGTTGGTTCTGGCTACAGTTTAAAATAACGTAAGAAGTGATTAATGATGTGCACGTGTTTCATGGGAAAATAATTTCATGAATTAACAAAGAGCAATTCATTCTTAGCCTAATTACGATGTATTTTTAAATGCGAATACACACTTTTTCGTATTTTGAATCCTTGAAAATTCTCTTTGTTTAGGTTACTGCATGTTTTTAATTGTTTGTTAAATGTATTATATTGAACAAACGGATATGACGTTAGGTAGGATCACGATTATTACCTTTGAAGTCCACCTGAATATGAGTGGTAAACGGAAGGCTTTCTCTAGTAAACAGGAAAAACAAGAGAAAACAGAAATTTTGGTCATAAAATGTTTTACAGTGTTCATTGTGTAAATGACTTCTTAATTTGTTTTGTTTCTTTTATGTTCTTTTATTTGATATAGGCCTATATAAAACTATCATATTTACCGAAAAAATCGAATCTGTCCTTGGTATAATTTGTACAGTGAGATCAAACTTATTCTTTAATGCTAAATATCATCAGATCAATATGATCAATGATCACTAGTATTATTACATTAACTGTTCTGAATAGTCACATTATTCGTTGAGACATTTTATTCGCTAGGGAAAGGAACGTTCAAGATTAGTATAACCCATATAAGGGTGTATCAGATAACTGATACAAGTTAAAGCTATTTGTAAAGCAAACATCTATATATTCGCTTGTCTAAATGTTTAAAATACTATCAACACAATTAATACTAACCTTTTTTGCGTCTACACACAGCTGCTAAGCAAAGTATGAACCCTATTAAGAGCAAGAGGATCAGTACGGTGGATAATACAATAGCGGCAACACGTGCTTGATCGTTTACACATGCAGTAGTTGTTTCTACTGGGGATCCACCAGACGAAGTTACTTCTGAAAGTAGACAATATTCATACGCCAATATGCATTTCATTACAAGTAAGGTCTTTAATATGTTGAAATGTATTTTCGGTTAATTACTTCTGAATTAAATAAATCACCATGAACTCTAAATAAACTGCTAGCAAATCCAGGTGGGGCTCAATTATATTTAAACGTCTTTGGGCTCAACCCACAAGGCACTCACAGCTCGGTTCGCGCGCTCGTTGGCTTCGCGCCCTCCCGCCCCCTCCTTTTTGAAAAATCCTGGATCCACCGCTGGTTAGGATAGTCTGTTAATGTAGCATTTGTTGATGATCGTATGGTTTAACGTATTAATGATAACTACATGTACGTGTAGGAAATAATTATTCTAGCTTTATAATTTTGAACTTGTTTTTCACGCAGGGGAGAAAGGGAAACTGACGCAGAGAGTGGCAAAGATAGAAAGAGAAAGAGAGAGAAGGACGTAGAAGGAAATCGCATTTGTTTACATAGAGAAAAAAAACGGTATAAATGCATACATGTTGCGCCATGCTACAAAGTACAAACGGTATAAACTGTTGATGAGCAGCAGCAAATAAATTTTACGTTGGAAATGTGCAATTAGATACAAAAGTTTTCTAAGTGAAAAAGCTCAAATCGATAATGTTTGTCCATTTGCATGCATCTAAACGACAGAGAAATACAATAGGTTGTAAAAGTTCAACTAACCACGCGCATAGTAGACGCACACGGATTTATTTGCCTCGGCACCCTGCAGATTCTCATCCCTTGCCTTGCAGGTGAGAGTGATGTTTTCACTAAACCTTGTTAAGTCAACAGATGAGGATTGGTAGATGACTATATCCTCCTGGACCTCCTCCCAGGTGATAACTGGAGGGTGAGGAAAACCTGACGCAGAACACTGCAAGGAAGTAATGTGTGAACCATTGATCTTACAGCTACAACCTTCCACCTGCTGCCCAGTGTCTTTGCAGTGGCTAACAGAGACGTCTAAAACAAATTAAGAAGAAAAAGGAGCAAACGAAGAAGGGGATGAGGAGGAGGGGAAGAAAAAGAAGAAGAAGAAGGAGAAAATGATGATAAAGAGCTAACATATGGGACGAGGTCGTGGTAGAATATCAGTCTTACAAATGACAGTTGAAAGTGTAAATCAATTCAACAGTCACTTGAACACCTGCTCCTTCCCTACGTCTCAATACCAGGGATAATAAGTAGTTTCCGATGGTTCTAGGACACCTACCCCTGGACAACCACCAGCCCTAGGATAACCACCCTATAGGAAACTACCCCCTAGGACACT